AATTCAATGCACGAACATTTATCGTTAGATCTGGTGGATCTCACACGCTGTATCCATTTACTTTCTTCCACTCTAGGCAGAGAAAATGCATTTCCGGTTTACGTCCATTTTTCTGATTTTCACTTGATCAAAATCTTGCTACCGGCGCATTTCAACCTTTTTTTCATTTATAAAATTCGAAACTCCGGAAACTTTCATAATATTCAAATTTGTCACGTAGAAATCGCATAGAAAAGCGTACGTTCTATTTATGCATATGTCACGGACCGTGATTCTCTCGTACTTTTGTACCCATGTGAGTGATGCTCGGGGTTATCGGGTGAAGAGTAAGGACGCAGAAGGGATGAAGTACAACTGGGTCGTGAGAGTGGCATCAGGAAGGTTGGTGCTAGGAGTTCTAGGATAGAACGAATATTCCGTAGGAGCTCTGAATGCAGGTTTGGCCTCCCGTGCACAAACTGGTTGGGAGTTGATGCCGCTCTCCTGATGAGGCCATGGCAGGCCGAAACCAGTTGTCGTACCGAAAGTATTCTGTGTGTCTCGCTCGATGGACTAGACGCCCGAGCCAAGCTGGGCGTGGTATGATTCGATACGAAGAAGACATTCGCCGTGTTGCTCTTGGGAACAGCTAGTGAACGATGGCTGGCCTGGTGCGTTTCGGCGCGCCAGGCGCCGCATGGGCTATTCCGCGGCCAACGAACCGTCGGCCCGTGACAAGTGGTATCAAAGCAGGATCCCTCTAGTAAGTGAGTGAGTCGCAGAAAACCTGTGGACTACCCGGTCCTACGAGGGTGGAGAGTGAATCGCCGGAGCCAATGCTCAGACAAAGTGCAGCTCTCGACTTGCTCTTAGGATGAACAGGGGCACGGGAAAAGAACTGATTCCTCACTGAATAGGGAAAACGTTCCTAGATCAATTTGGTGAGTCTGAAGATGGGTCTACTATCACGTTATCAATAAGGGGAAAAGCCTCCATTGGTCTGCCGAGATCATGAGAATTCCGAAGTAAGCGAAGAATGGTGCTGCCAGAAAGATGCAGTTGGCGAAAATGCCACACTTGTCAGGAAAAGCACAAGTGACCGAGGGTGCTGAATGGCTCTGATCAAGAAAGCCACCAGTGGAGAGAAGTTGTTTTGTTGGGCGAGCGTCCACCACTTGTGTAAGTCCCCACAGCGGCATTGATGGTGAGAATTGACGCAAGGAAGCGACAGAACAGCTCGCAACGAGGGCGTTGCGGAATTGAGTGGGGGAGAATGTCACGGACCGTGATTCTCTCGTACTCTTGTACCCATGTGAGTGATGCTCGGGGTTATCGGGTGAAGAGTAAGGACGCAGAAGGGATGAAGTACAACTGGGTCGTGGGAGTGACATCAGGACGGTTGGTGCTAGGAGTTCTAGGATAGAACGAATATTCCGTAGGAGCTCTGAAGGCGGATTTGGCCTCCCGTGCACAAACTGGTCGGGAGCTGATGCCGCTCTCCTGATGAGGTCATGGCAGGCCGAAACCAGTTGTCGTACCGAAAGTATTCTGTGTGTCTCGCTCGATGGACTAGACGCCCGAGCCAAGCTGGGCGTGGTATGATTCGATATGAAGAAGACATTCGCCGTGTTGCTCTTGGGAACAGCTAGTGAATGATGGCTGGCCTGGTGCGTTTCGGCGCACTAGGCGCCGCACGGGCTATTCCGCGGCCAAGGAACCGTTGGCCCGTGACACATAGGTACGGGGTAGGTTTGGTGGGGAAATGAATGGTCAATGTCAAAGTCAAACACTTTATTTTAGATCCTTTTACTTTACCAACCCCCGCAACACTTTGTTTTGTTCTCCAAATCAAAGACAAAGTCTTCTTGCTCCTTGAAGACTTCAACCTAATTTGTACCAAAGCCACAAAAGGCTAAATAGTGGTACAAAATTTGCCGGATTAAAAGCGTGAGCTACAAGAAAGAACTAGGGTTTTGAACATTAAAGTGACATTCAACATCTAATATACAATATTGAAAGTGACTCTTGCACATTATGTACACTCCACAAATAACAGTATCCGAGCTATCTAATCGATTCATCATATGATGAAAGAATTATTTTCTTGTTCAAATAAAAATCCAAGAGTTTGACCAAGAAAAAGTAAAGTGCGGAGGGAAATCTCTCCATAATAAGTAGTAAACTTGATTTACAAGACAGAAAATATCTTTTTTAAAGAGAATATTATAGAGGAAGCTTTCTTATGATTAATGTAGTGATAAAGCTTTCTTCTTTTTACTAATATATAAAGCAATAAGTACTAAACTTACCTCTATGAGAATGAAAAATAATCATATATATATGTATTCATGCAAAAAATTTCTATCATGCTCGGCATGCAATGTGCCATATATAACGAAAAATCTATTGATGTATCTTGAGAATATTATAGAGATAAAAATTGAGTTTATCACTTGTGACACATTTCACCATAGAGTGTAAAATTATTTTGACTCCATAAAGAACAAAGAGATACTGTCTATACCCAAATAAAAGTCGATGTTTTCATAAGGAAACCATCAAAGGCTTTCCAACAAATTGTGATTTGGCCGTAGAAGGACCAAATTGCAGTAAAGTAAACAAGTCCATGATATTTGATTATCTACTAATGGCATATATTATTTTCAAGTAATGGTCCTTTCTCTTAATAAACTTTCAAATTTATTTTCAGTTTTCTAAAAATACTATAATTACATATAAGATGCGATTTCAATAACTTTGGAAAGATAAAACCCATGTTAAGCACGAGTAAGTTTAATCATTCTCAACAAATATTATACATGCTCCAGTTAATTGCTCTGAAAGAATGGAATGAGGAGCTGCAGCCGGCATGAACGATGGGAAAAGGGTACTTAGCTGTGGTATTCTGCACCGAAAGAAACCTTTGACTAACTGTACAAATCAGCAAGACTAGATTGATGAGAAATATCATTTGAAAAACCACAAAATCTCCAATCCAAAGCTGGCACAAAGATAAGCAAAAAGGTACATTGCTAGCTGGAGAATGCTTCATCACGCGGCTAGCATTAATTCCAAAACCAATTGCCTCCTCAGAAGGCTCAGATCGAGTTATTCGTATCCTTCACTCTTGAAATTTAAAAAGAGCGACCATACTTTTATTATTTTTAAACTAAGGGAACTCCAGATGCCAGTCAGCACCTGAATTGCAAAACGAAGCAGGATTCTACCCTTCATTTTAGCAGAAGAAAGAAGCAATTGGTGTATGCTTTTCAGTATTAAAAACAGTCGATAATCCAAAACTCAACCACCCATATGAAAAGAAAACGACCCAGAAGGAAAATGAAACAAAAAAGAAACCCTTACCAATCCACCAAACTCAAAGTAGCTTTCAAAGTGGAAAACCAAGACCAAATGAATTGTAAGCAAAGTCGCGTGCAAAGTCTCAATCGCAAGTTTTGGCGACTCTATTAGATCGCCAGCTGCCGATTCCTCAAATGTCTCCCCTCATTCCATTCTAAGTCTAACATGTTCCCATTTTTTTCGACCATGGGGCTCAACTACATTTGGACACCCTTCAAGCATTTAGAACTTGATCCGAAATATATGATCTCAATGTACCATCGGCAGAGTTGATTGGAACGACCGAACATCGTAAGTAACGCAAGATATTTGTAATGAGGTCCGTGGAAAAAAGTGATGGAACTTGTCTGAAAATCATTTCGAGAGGAGAATGGCATTAACATCGAGTGGCGCATACTTAGCTTCTCGTGGCACCTCCACCGGGGATCAATCCGGTCAAACCGTGGCCACGATACTACTTTAAGTTTAAGATTGGGAAAAAGATGTGCGGGAAGCGTTAGTTGTGTTAAAGGCTGGTTTTCAAAATTAGGAACTAAATGACCGGTAGACGGTAATTGGACTTTTAATCAATGTGCCACTATATAAAATACTAAATAACTGTCTTATCGATTACTATATCATTTATCGTAGATTAGTACTATATGTTATGCACCGCATCTCTCTCTTTTTTCTAATGAGGTTATTATATTCGCCATGTCCCTAACAGAATATGAAAGCACAAGAACTTTTCTTAGATTCCAATGGAGGGTTGATCAAGAAGTACAAGCAACAGCTAGATGCACCATGATGCATGACCTATGGCAAGATATTTTTTTTATATTTTTTTTTCAGAAGTTGGGAGAAAATAAGAGAAAATAACACAAATGGTTCCTAAATTTTAGCCTAATGTGCAATGTGATCCCTAAATTTTAGTTTAATGTGCAATGTGGTCCATAAATTTTTAATTTGTTCAATGTGCTTCCTCAACTTTTGATACATGTTCAATTTAATCTATGGACTATATGAAATTGAATTGATGGAAGTACAACATTGAACATTTTCATATATTTTAGGGACTAAATTAAACATTGACTAAAAGTCCATGTACTACATTGAACAAATTAAAATTTCAGGGACACTACACATTGAGCCAAAGTTCAGATCATTTGTGCAATTATCCCATTAAATAACTGTATTTTTTTTCTTTTTTGGTCAAAATTAAATAACTGTACTTAATCCATACATAATTGAATATATTCGTCTCAAGACTATTTTCTAGAAACACATTAGTATGGTACTATTGTCCAATACGTAAGTACCAGCTTTAGCCGAATTATACACATACATATGCGCATCTAAATACAAACATACTAGCTCTCATGCCCGGATGATGGATATGTGATAGCAAATAAAATGAGAAAACCGTTTTCATTGAAGGGACAACCTGGAAAACAAAAAAATACGGAAAACATCGTCTTTTCCTTGATAATATCGATACGGATAGACGGATAAGTAGATAGATATCTTCGATTTTTTTCGCAAGAAAATCTAATCGAAGAACCTCGCGGGATCTAAAGAACCTCGCAGGATCTATTGCGGCCGCCCGTAACACGCTTAGGTCTGCCGGATCACATAAATGGGGGAAGGTCTGAACTAGAAAGTAGGTAAGGAATAGAATTGCTGACCAATTAAAGTAGGTAAAGATTGGAATTCAAGATCCTAAACACAAAAATAAGAAAAGTAGGGTAATGAATGCCAGAGATAAGACCCAGCCCGGGGTTTGTGACCAAGACCTTTGCATAAAAAAAAATGAATCTATACGGCATAGTGGACCGCGTTCATGACGAAACACGCAAACGCCCTCTGCATAAAGAGGTAGAGGCAGAGCACGACTCTGTCGCCAAACCATACCAGACGCAACGACAACAATCTTCCTCCTACCTTTTCATTTGCAGCGTCGAGAGAGATGGGAGTAGGAGAGAGGAAGGGATCGGCGTTGGAGGATCTGATAGAGAGAGCGGGCGGGTGCGCGGTGATCGACGGCGGGTTCGCGACGCAGCTCGAGAAGCACGGCGCCGCCATCAATGACCCTCTCTGGAGCGCCCTTTGCCTGATCAAAGACCCTCATCTTATCAAGCGAGTGAGTCCTGAGTCCTCATTGCTCTCTCGATGCACGCCGCGACGCGTATCACTCTGTGCGCATCGGTGGGGATTAATTGTTCGGATTGTTCGATACTGATGGTGTAAGGAAGTGTTTTCCTTTTGTCCTGGAAGAGTAAATACAGAATTCTGGTGAAATGCAGGTCCACATGGAGTATTTGGAGGCTGGTGCTGATGTCCTGATCACCTCTTCCTATCAGGTACATATGATCTTCCACTCATTCCTAGAAGGGGTTGATTCTTCTTAAGTTGTTTCATTATTCAATTTTTGTTTGGCTTGGAGAATCAAAAGAAAAATATCAAACACTGTTCCATTTCATTTGAGTGGCAGAGTCTTTTTTCCATAAAAGGGAGAAAGCCACAAAAATTCCCAAACTAAGTTTTTTTTCCATTAAGGAAGAAAACCACAAAAATCTTCAAATTATGCCATGAACTTTTTTTGTGACATCAAAAACCCAAACTATGCCATTTACTTTAAAACTTTTCTTGTGACATAAAAAAATCACAAACGTGTACCTATATAACACATTTGCGATCCATCAAGGTTCCGTTAAATAATTTTTCAGTTAAAACAATGTAGTTTTTATTTCACTTAATATATGTGAGCGCCGTGTCAATACTGTTTGCTTTCTGGCGGCCAAATAAGCAGATTTTTAATGGATCTTATTGACACTTAGATAGGTACATGTTTGGAATTTTTGGGGTCACAGAAAAAGTTTAGGTAAATTTGTCACACTTTGCACAGTTTTAGGTTTTTGGTGGCTTTTGCCCTTCCTGAAAAGAGCAATGTTCTTCCTTTTTCATTGATCATACCACTGCGAAATGCAGATTCTGTTCAAAGTTGCATTTTTGCTTGTACTTCACATAATAAGTGCCAATCCCGTGCTTCATGGTGGAAATTGGAAACAACTGGTGCATTCTTAGCCAGCAGAGCATTAGTTTCTTGATTTGCACCAAGAGGATCCCATAAATCAATGTAGAGAATTCTCTGACTATTTTAAGGAAGCTGTACAGTTTATTTAAAGAGGGTTGAGTGCAATGCTTGTTGTAGATATTTGCTTCTCTTTTCGTTCAGGTTCATCTGGTAAGTGCAAATGCAGAACACAGAGTAGATTCGGGCCATTTGGCATAGAGTTTTGTCTTTCCTTCAATAGAAAAACACAGACTAGAATTTTGCATATTCCCTAGCTCAAAATAAATGTGCTTATTCCAGTTTTCGTCCAGATTTTACAGTCTCTGTAAATCTCCAGTTCTAGCCATTTAATTGGTCTTGCCACTTTAATGTGCAAATTCTAACATCCAGATGAGAAGAACTCTGTTTTTATTATTTATTTTTTTGGGTCAGACTGTTGTTAAGTTTGCAGAAATGAAATGTTTGTCTGTTTAAATTAATTGAGAATGATCCTGTGAGTATGGAACTTTTGCTTGTTTCTGGGATTTCATGGTCTAGCAATTTAGAAAGGATCTGTTCGCTAGTCGTACACTTAAAGATTGCTTCTTCATATTAGGCTTGTACTAATCGGCCCGTGAGGCATTACTGGAGGTATGGATATTATAGAAAATGTTCCACTAGCAATACTATTCTAATAGTCATTTTTGGTTCTGTGGTTGTCTTCTGGTAAGTCTGGTGATACTTGGAAGACATTTGATCAATATTTAGTTTACTTAAGCTCATAACTTACATAATGTTTCGTTATCCTCTTACTGGAAAGTGGAAACGATGAAGTTCAAAATTCCATCACCACGATGGTTAATGCTGTGCTATTTGTGCCAGGCCACTCTTGTTGGGTTTCTGTCCAAAGGACTGTCCATGGAAGAAGCAGAGTCATTACTAGAAAAGAGTGTCAAGTTGGCCGTCGAAGCCCGGGACAAGTTCTGGGATTCCTTGAAGGAGGTTCCTGGACATAGCTACAATCGGGCCTTGGTGGCTGCATCGATTGGTAGCTATGGAGCTTATCTTGCAGATGGCTCAGAGTATAGGTGAGTGTCAATCCTGATGAGACTAACAAACTATGCACGAAGCTGGTTGAGAGTAGTGTGATAATTTGCTTGTCCCAGCAGTCATATTCACTTGTATCTGTACTCAATATCTGCATTTCTGTTCCCAGCGGTTGTTATGGACCGGACATAAATTTGGAAAAACTCAAGGACTTTCACCGGCGTAGATTGCAAGTCCTTGTTAATGCTGGTGCAGATTTGCTGGCCTTTGAGACTATTCCTAACAAATTGGAAGCTCAGGTATGTTCTTTTATTGTCAAAATACTCTTTATTTTCTCAAAGCTAAAACTCAAATTACATACATTACTCTTATATATGAAGATGCTGAGCATCAGCTGCATGTGGTTGGCCAACACTACACTACGTCCTAACTGAAATGTGATTGCGAGGATGTTTTTGTGACGCTACTTGGTCTTTTGAAATCATTACCTTCTCTAACATTGTGTTAAAAACAATTATTATTCTGGCATTTGAAGGCCTTGACTCGTGTTTCAGTGTCTGTAATATTATGCATCTATGAATAGCGTAGGGGATGATTGACTTAACCAAATAAAGAAAAGTGTAATTTTGGTATGAGCTTTCTCGAAGCTATTTCATGAAAGGAGGAAGCTTTTTTTTCTGAGCATCTTAGCATCTTAATTCTATGACAAAGTGAAAAAATCTATCAGTGATTCTGCATCGTCTTGTTTACCAAAAGATAATTCTGTATCGTCTCGAATCATAGTGCTCCGGTCATGATCATCTAAGATGTTTGTGATCATCGGTACCCATTAAGAAATCATCATCTCGGGCCAATATTAATGACCATAAGTGGCAAACCTTGCTTTGCTTGTAGCCACATTTGAAGGATTACCAGTCATGGAAGACAATAGTGCTTCAACCAATTATCGATATATAATATCAAGGAGCTGCTGTTTCATGTTCACGAGGACAGAACATGGAAAATAATGTCTACTTATCATATAAAAGCTGATTTTCACTTTACATAAGATGTATATGGCTTCAGCTCTGCATCATTCTTTGTGCTTAACGAATGTTGGGTTTCGGAATCATCATATAGGCTTGTGCTGAGTTGCTTGAAGAGGAAAATATCGAAATTCCATCCTGGATTTGCTTCAGCTCGGTGGATGGTGAAAATGCACCATCTGGAGAGAGTTTTCAGGATTGTCTGGATATACTGAACAAGAGCGATAAAGTCAATGCAATCGGGATAAACTGTGCGCCGCCCCATTTCATTGAAAGTCTAATAGGCAAATTTAAAGGGGTAAATCAATCTACTTGTCTAGTGAAGAATTGATGAAGTTATTATGTCAATTATTCTCGACCTGGCCTTGCGTAGTTTCTGTATCACCGATGTACTAATTTCCTCTAATGCAGTTGACAAGCAAGGCAATAGTTGTGTATCCCAACAGTGGCGAGGTGTGGGATGGCAGAGCTAAGAGATGGCTGGTAAGTTGCATTCTCTATTTCTCTCCCTCTATATTGAACATATTCAATTTCTCCCCTTTTGAGTTTGTTCCTCGTTATGATCGCAAACGTCTTTTTAATCCGCTACAGCCATCCAAGTGCTTCGGCGACGACAAATTCGAGCTGTTCGCTGCAAGATGGCGCGATGCAGGAGCCCAGCTCATCGGCGGTTGTTGTCGAACAACGCCTTCGACAGTTCAGGCTATTTCAAATGCATTGAGAGGGTTAACAGAAGCTAGTCTAGACTGTTACCAACTTTAAAGAAGGCACCTCTGCCCCCTAAGTTTTGGCTGCCATCTACATTGGCGGCTCGGAAATATTTATTCAGCTCATAGATATGCCTTAGCAAGTTAAATTTATTCTTTTCTATCTTCGTTCTTAGTATTTCATGCTGAGAGTTCAGATGCAAGTCCTATAGCACGGTCCTCAATGTCTACCAAAGAGATTAGTGTCCGACTAATGTTACTGATGTGAGCAAAAAACACCCTTTGTGCATGTGCTTGTGAACTCAAATATCTAACGAGCACTTAGCTTTGGTGGGTCACAAGTGAGGCCCTTTCGATAGAGAGGTTAAATCGCCCAGCCGGGACGGAGCATCACAGGTCGTGGAATTTGAAAGTGATACAGCACAAATGGCTGTCAACTTCTGTCGTAAGAACCAGAAAGTACCAATCAATTAACCAGACAAAGACCCAAACAGCATCATTCTCAGTTGACGGTTGATGCTCCTATAATGGACAGACAAAGGCAGTAACATAACATGAGCAAGGCCCACAAAAAGAATGGGTAAAGCACATACGATGATAATAATTGTTGGTTAGAAGCCCATTTCGACAACCTGATGACTTAATGACTTATGAGGAATCTAGAGCAAGTTCTAGATTCTATAGTTGGGGCGATCTAGAGATTTGTTTCGTGCCAAAACAAAGGGACTTATTCTTAATTGCAAAAACATGATCACGCATCTTTTGGAAGAAGATCCAAGGTTTAGTTATCGGTAGCAAATTACGGTGATCGCCTAGGCCTTGCCGAGTAACGGGTCATTTTCTTTTCTGTAAATTGACCCTAATAGATCGAGAGGATCTGAATCTAACGTGAATACATAACGGAGATAATCATTCTTTGAATATTCAACGCGTCATCCTTTTAACTATATGGATCTGAGTGAACAATACCCTTCTAGGGCTTGATTTGCCTATAGCCCCGATTCGATTTTAAAAGGCATGTGTGATTTTTCTAATCATCAAGCAAGCTCGGACAGGAGTTTTCAGGCATGACAGTCGAGCCTACCCTTTTGGGCAGGTCGGTTCCGAGCCGCTCATTGAACCAAGAATAGAAATGACTAGCCTAACAACCGCGGCCAAGAAAGTCATGAACGCGATCTAAACTCTAAAACTACGCCAATAACTTTGTTGCGTAACCTCGAAATATCATTCAAATATCTATACAGATAGGTAGATGCCCACATGCAGTCTCTTTCAGAGCAGAGAATATGTCGAGAGAAGCTCCAATAACCACCATTAATGCGGATAGTTATTATTGACTTTGTACACATGCTCCGATTCCTCCCCGTTGTTGACAAGCCTTCCACATCATCATTATCCTGCTTTTTCGACACCCTTTTATCTTTTCAGACGAAGTGAAAACCACAGCCGACGACTGTTCCGTTCTGCCTGTCCATCTCGAGCTGGTCAAGCTCTCTTTTTGCCTGTTGTTCTTCGCCATAACATGCCCGAAACCAAGAGGTCTCTTTCTGTACTCTTTCTCTGGGAAGAGTTGGGAGAAAGTTATTGCCGTCTCGTGGGCGTTTCAATTGAGCGACAGCGAAGGGAGCGATGACTTGTCAGTAGGTGGACAAAAGGGCTATCTTCTATCTAGAAAGCCTACTGGGTCTTTCGAAAAGTAGCGAAAAAATTATTTCATGTCCGGATTTATTGTAGATTACTTCATTTTTAGTAGGGTATTCAATTTCTACGGTTCTTTTACAGCATGCATGCATACGTTCCGTCTTCATTTTATTGATGCAATGTGACATTTAATGAGCGAGGGAGTTCTTGGATATCTTAAGACGTACTCGATGCTGTCAAAGGTTTGGTCTGTCCTGATGCACAAAGTCAGATTGTACAGATGTCAATTTAATCTCAAACATTTTGATTTTCTCAATTTAGTCTTAGACCTTTGAGCAAAATTCTGATGTAGTCCTTACGATCGATTTTTGCCTGAAATCACCGAGGTGGCGACCCGGTCATCGTCACATCTTATGTGGCATTCCGCCGTGCCAGCGATTTTCCGATGAAAATTAGCCTAAAGGACTACATTGGAATTTCACGTAAAAATTTAGGACTAAATTGATAAAATTTAAAAACTTAAAATTAATTGACATCCGTACAATATGCTTAGAACTGATCGGGCAATTTCCCCACCAAATGTATCTCAATTGCCTTTGATTGAGCCACATTTGGCTCCTTCACGGATGGACACGGCCTTCGTGGAGAGAGAAAGAAAGAGAGTCAAGGAGGAAGGGAGAGGCCTGGCACCAGGGGCGGCAAGGGGTGGCAAGATCGATTGTGCCGAGGGGGGTAGTTTTCCTATTTGATATACGCTTTCCCTTCTACGTTGCAAACTTCATGTTTCTCAATTAATTTCATTCTTGTTAGGATGCATGGGTGAGTTGTGTTAGAAAAGTCCCACACCGGAGAATTGGTATGGTGATGAGCAGTTAATATTTTATAGTTGGCCATAACTCATTAACTTAAACTTTTGAATGAATATGGGTTCTACTATATATGTTGATGGGCTTGAATTTGGGCTTCCTTTTGGCGATGTCCTCGGATGAAGGTATCGAGATTGAGTTATATTAGAGAAGTCTCACATTGGAAAAGTGGCGTGGCTCATAATTCATTAGCTTAAGTTTTTGAGTGAAAATCCTTCTTGGCAATGTCCAACACCTTTCATGTTAAATATGTCTTGAATTTTATGTTCTCGGTCTGGTTCAACAACCGACCCGACATATTTTTGTGCGACCCGAAAATTGAGATTTAGTTCGCGACGCGGAGAGTTGGGCCGACGCGGAGCACTATTTATACCGCGGCTAGGTTTTCTCATTGATGTACAGAGAGAATTTTGTTTTCGAGAGTTTTGTGAGCCGTGAGCTTTTGTCGTTGTTTTCGACTTCTGAAAACTGTACTCTCTTTGATTATAGTGGAATTTTGTCTTGCCTCGCCCGTGGACGTAGATCACGTTGTGATCGAACTACGTAAATCCCTGTGTTCTGTGTTTGTTCTTCCGCATCTGTTTACAACATTTCAGCTAGTCTCTGTGGCATTTGTCGTGGGCTAGCACTCCACATTTTATTGCCGCCATCAAACCAATCCAGCTCGGCGCAGACGGGGCAGTAAACAGTCGGAGAATATCTCGCGGCCCCCTTTCCCTAAGATGATGCATGTTGAGCTTTAGAGGCGTAACACTTGAAAGTGAAAGCCTTGATTGTCGATAACTATAGTCGGCAATTCTCAAAGGTGAACAACTTTAATTGGTAACTCTCAAGGAAAAACACTCAAGGAGAGGAGAGGAAAGGAATAAACTATTTTATTATGACTTGATTCACCTTATAAATACTTCGACTAGACTTGCCTTTATAAAGACATAATACATGACTCTTGATATGATTCGTAAATGACTATACATTTATCTAATATTAACTAGACATCGAAACACGAGAGGTCAAGATCAAATACAAACAATCACATTAACTAGTCATTGAAATACGAAAGATCAAGACTAATCAAGAAAGATCTAGAGAGATAAGGCGGTGATATCTTCAATGCACGACATTTCTACCAAACCGTACACTATCTAGGCCTCCAAGTTAAGAAACTCTTTCAACCTGAAGTCATGGAATTTCACATTCACCTGGCTCTGCCACGGAAGGAGTGTTTTCGGCAAAGGTTTTGGATGTCCATGGAGGAGGAGGAGGAGGAGGAGGAGGAGGAGGCAGGGGGACCGCACAACAGGAGTCCATCTCATCTGCCACGGGGGACGGGGGGAGCGGGTCCCGCCCCCACCACCCCCGGACGCGAACAATCAATCCTTGCCCTTTCAAAAATTTTCTCAAAAGTGACGGAGATGATCATGAATTGACCCCCCCCACCCCGCCCTCTCCCTACGATCTCATCCCCTATGCCCACCTCGCGGGGCCCCTCGGGAAATCCCTTTTATTAGACCGTCGCCCAATCACAGCGCTCCGCTCCGGATGACCCTCGCGTGAACAGCCAATGGGGTTCCAGATAAGGCACGTCCGTGGGCCCCAAAAAGTGTAGCCTTTCTCCAACTTTCCCCGCCCAAAAGAAAAAGTGCACCTGCCCCCCCCATATTACGACGCGTCCCCTCGCTTCGCTACCATCTCCTGTCAGAAAAGCGCAAAGTCTCGCGCGTCCCCGGAAAGACAATTTTTTTCTTATTAATCGCTTCTCTCTCCCCAAAACACCGCCCCCCAATTTCGACGCCAAACATTCGCCGGGCTCCTCTCTTTCTGGCGGTCTGGTTTAGATCCTTTCGACGTTAATATCTGGAGACACAGACACCTGCGAGGGCGTTGATGATCGCATGAGCCCGTCCGTGATGATTTACCAAAAGAATGCGGCGAATGCATTCAGCGGCAAGACCGCGCGGGCCTGCGACAACTGCATCCAGAGGCGGGCTCGCTGGTACTGCGCCGCCGACGACGCCTTCCTCTGCCAGTCCTGCGACCGCTCCGTCCACTCCGCCAACCCCCTGGCCCGCCGCCACGAGAGGGTCCGTCTGAAGACGGCGGCCACCTCGCAGAAGCACCTCGGCGAGTTCGCTACGCACAGGAAGTCGTCGTCGTGGCACCGCGGCTTCACCAAGAAGCCGCGGACGCCCCGTGGCGGGAAGCCCGTGCTCCACCGGTCGTCCAAGCCGGAGGACGAGGCCCGAAACCCGTTCCCTGTCGTTCCCGAAGTCGGTGGAGATGAGACGTCGAACGAGGAAAGCGAGGAGCATCTCCTTTATAGGGTTCCGGCTTACGATCCTTTCGTCGCGGAAATGTGCACGTCGAAAGGGGCTGAGGCGACTGCGTATGGCGCCGAACCAGAAACTGCCATGGCCTTCAACCGATCAGGCAACGGCGACAACCGAAGCAAAGGGTTGACCGTCGATGTGGAGAATTTGCAAGGGTTTCTCCCGTCGGACGCGGACCTCGCGGAATTTGCGGCCGATGTCGAGAGCCTTCTCGGTCGAGATCTCGATACGGAGTCTTTCGGGATAGAAGGATTGGGTTTTATAGATTGTAAAGAGCGAGATAATAACTCGATGGACCGTTCCTTAGGTAGCAGCGGAGTGATTAAACT